GTGTGTGTGTGTGTGTGTGTGTGTGTGTGTGTGAAGAGGTCTGTGAACAAGACAAGAAAGAAACTATAAGTTGGGGCAGTAAGTACTATGCATGTGTGTTGTAGGCTAGTTCTTGCAGGATATTTAAGGAGTGAACAGAGAAAAGTGATGAATGCATATGAGGTCCCCCAACAAACTAAGGAAGATTCCGTGTGGGAGAGTTACAAGTGGTTAATTCATTCGACCTTGCAAGAAATGGATTCAATAATTGGTGTTTGGGAAAAAGATTCTGGTTTTTCGACAAACCTAAATAGCGGTGTAGTTGATCTTTTTTAGTACATTGTATGATATAACACTCATATTAGTTCGAAGAAGTACCGGATATAGATAGCTTTAGCTCGACAGCAAGTTTGACTCCGTCAAGGAGCTCGGTATAGCAGCTCGAGGTACGAGTCGACTCGGTAGTGAGTTGAACTCGTTTGGGAGCTCGACTAGAGGATAGGTCATCACGATATGAAGGTCGTTTAGCTGAGGTCGTATAAACTACCTAGTAAAGAATATGACACTAGAATCGAGGTATGTTTCGATGACCTAGGGACATGAGAAGTCATGGTAAAGAAGAAAACAGATTCCTGTTAAGATACTAAGAGTATCTACAATGCATTGGGTCTAATCTTGCTTATGTGGCATGTAAACAAACCTAAGTATTGGATGACATGGATAAAATTATATACAATTAATGAAATTCACTCCAATACAATGAGACTAAGTCTCTACTTGGGTCTAAAATAGACTTAAGAGTAGACCGGGTCTCTTTTTATGGTTGTCACATCAACAGGACCCAGTCTACTTTTATTTGTATTGGAGAATACATTTTTTTAGACTATGTCTATTTCTTATGTGGCATACAATTTTTTTGTGATTGAACCCAAAACATTGTGGATACTATCACACTAGGAAGTAGGCGATCTCAGAGACGAGTCATACTAGGGAATAAGATATGTGAACATCTCCTTTCTAGTGGTATACATGGGAAATAAGACAACCTCCTTATAAAAGAATGTTACCAAGTTCTTTTACAATTAACATAAAATACATACTTTGCATCCCAAGTATGTTATCAAGTTTGCCCAAGTCTATCAAAATTTATCGTGATAACAACGGTGAAATCACGAGCTCGAAGAAACCACGAGATCCTAAGCCAAGTAATCACATAGAGCGCAAGTACCACATGATACGATAGATCGTAGGACGAGGAGAAGTCGTTGTAGCCAAAATTACATCAGTGGACAATCTAACAGACCCTTTTACGTAGGTTCTTCCAACAAACGCTTACGAGAAGCATGTAGAAAGAGCAAGATTCAAATGTATGGCATTTTAGAGCACAAAGTCTTTATGCATGAGTAGGTAAGATGGATAGACCAATACTTAAGAAGTAACAGCTTTAAATATAAGTGGAAGATTGATGGTTTTACTGAACGCAATACTTTTTGAACTTATTTCCATTTTGAATTAAAGAATCGCATATAGTCAGTGGTCGTGCAATTTAATAGACCACATTATAAGTTCTTTGTACAATATAAACAAATGTTCATAATTGAAATAACAATGGACAAACTCTATTGGTATGGTTATAGTATAAATCGAGTCTGTATCGTTCCAGTTTTGACATCCGATAAAGCTGGAACGATACAGAGAAGATTAGTATGGTCCCTGCGCAAGGATGATACGCGTAAATCGAAAAATGGTTATAGCATAATTTGAGATTTGTTTATCTTGAATGGTGAATTATACTAATACACTTTGGGTGTATTGAACTGAACTACAGATGAGAAGTTTTATTTTATATTGTCTCAATAAATAAACTAAACCTTGAGATATCACTAGCACTCTAAACTCGAAATATTAATAATGGGCACGTGTGATTTATAAAAGTCCATTAATTCATCAAAGAGTGGGACATATTTTGCTAGGTCAATATACTCGATGAGTGGGATATGTTATTAATCACATGGTTTGTTGTCAGTTATATTTAATCATTGTGTCCTGGTAAGCCAGGGTGATAACGTCCCAAAGATAAGCTCAAAATGATTGTTATGTCAAAGCTCTGTAGGTGAATTTAGTTTCAACATAATAATAAGATTGAGTGGTATCAGTCTTAAAAATATAAGAAGTTAATTAATTAAATTAATAATGAATGTTTGATATCTTAAACACGACAAGATTATCGATGATAGTGGAGCCTGAGTAAGCGGGGTGAGAAAAATGTAGGGAAATAACAAGTCTTTAGTGGACAGATTTACTATTAATGACCCAAGAAATAGGATGGATTATAACCCAAATATTTGACCTATTGGGAAACCTAAACTTAAACTTCTTAAGGTCCCCGTTCTAGCCTATAAATAAACCATGAGGGGTCGCATTCACTTGCTAGGGACACAAAAAACACACGCTACCCATAAAGTGAGGGTCGTGAGTTCGACGCGAGCAAGGAAACGCCGACCACACGAGCTTGAAGATCGTCGCCCACGCACAACGTGTGGAGATCGTCGCCCACACGACGCCTGGCTGAGGTGAGGATACAGCAAAAGGATTAAAGGTTAAGAGAGGGCAGAATTGTTCGTTCGACTTCGTAGGCCGTGTAAATCCTCTCTGAGTCTGACATTATTCACAAGATCTTGATCCTAATCTTTAGATCTACTGCGATTAGGGTTAATTTCTTAGTATTCAATTAGCAAACAATTAACCGACGTTCTTCGCCGAACCTAACCATTATCACTCTATTTATTAATCATGATTTATTGTACATATATTTTTTTGATTTCTTAGTAAGAATATCAATTTTTAAATATTCATTTTTTTTATTTATTTTATCAAGTGCTCGTATATTTATAATACACGAATGTTGTACTAGCTAGAGATATTGATGACCTCAAAATCCTTATAGATGAACATGCGTTAAAACCAGGTTAGAAAACAAAGCCAAGTGCTTGTGAGCTTTTTTGTCCATTGGTACAGCTTCAACAGCCAATACAAACCACTCTTTCTAACCATATTCTTTACATTGTTTTTGCCATAATAGAATAGGATCTTCCAACTATTTAGGAACCTTCTCACATGTTTGGGTTTGCTAATGTTTAATGCAGCCGTCCATTGTTGCGCGTATAAAAGTACATCAAAATATTTGTCATATTCTTCACCAAAAATATCTCGTAAAAAACCCAATAAATATTCAATATGACAACTCGGTTTTTCTATGAAGCCAACAATTGACTTCATAGTGGAGCCAACCTTCTATATACAACAAGTAAACCTACAATATTAATAAAATTATATTAGTGTTATTTAATTAATCAGCGAGTATAGTAGGTTTACTTGTTGTATATAAAAGGTTGGCTCTACTATAGAGCTTACTGTTGGTTTCATATCAAAACCACAAGACAACTATCTATTTAACATTATTCTGGAATTTTATTTTTTATATATATTATAATCACATAACATAAATTCAGCAATCAAAATTACTCATAAGTATTTGCATTTATTTATGATATATAGTGATGCGAACATTTCTATTATTTCTTGTAGATAATATGACTCATTGTGTTGAACTAAAGATCATTTAACATGTTCATTGTAAAATACAAATATAGTTCACAACTTATTCATAATTGATCTGACTATTGAAAATGGTTGTGGTGTAATTTTGGAATTAGTTGATCTTGACTAATGAATTATAATAGTACACTATACTTTGAGTTTATAGAACGGATGATAAGTTTAATTTATACTAACTAAGTAAATAACTAAACTTAAATTATTGTTTGTACTCTTAATCCGTAAGATAATAAACGGGCATATATATTCGATACTACTATGTTGGTTTATCAAAATGTGAGATTCATTTATTGAGTCAATAGACTAGGTGATTGAGAAGTAATATTTTCTTATATGATACGTCATTAATTATTTAGGGACATTGTGTCCTTATGCGGCAGGTTGATGACATCCTCGAAATGAGCTCAAAACGTTTATTATCTAAACTCTGCAGATGGATTTATTTACAGCATAACAATAAGGTTGAGTGGTATTAGTTTCGAAAATATAAGTCAAATCGAGTGATAAATCTGAGCCGGCCATATTGTAATTTGGGGCTAAGGAAGAAGTTCAATAATATTTATTTAGTGGACTAGAATATTATTAACATGTATTAGGTGTAGGTAGACTAAAACATATGTTTCATAATCTTGTAGAGTCCTCCTTTAGCAGCAGTTCATGTTGTGGCCTATAAATACACTCAGTCCTAGTCATAAATCACAGGTCATGTTGTGGCCTATAAATACACTAAGTCCTAGTCATAAATGAGACAGTTCACGTCTTTTGTCTTGGGAGAGAGGTTTTAGAAAAGAGATAAAAGTGGTGTTTCCAAACACAATATCTTCTTCTTTATTTCGCATAAACTAATCATGTGGGATTCATGGAGGGAGAACTTTGAAGTTGTCGCCCACCAAGACGATCAGAGGAGTCCGGAATACAACATAAGATGTCAAGGTTGCACCGTGTGTTCATATGATCTCGTAGACCATGTAATCTTCTCTGAATCGGCAAATTTTAAAATTTACAATTTAATCATAACTTCGGATCTGTAGCGCTTGTGATTACTTCCATAGATTTCGAGCATCCACATCGATCGACGTTCTTCACCGAACCCAACAAAGGAAGAAGAAACAAAAAAAAAAAAATCATTGGTACAATGTTTAGAATGGTACCATTCAAGTTCAACACAGCAGAAGTAGCACATTCCACAGCCATAGAAACAATAGAAGAATACAAACTAACACAATCAATGAAGCACAGAGGCTTCAACTTAGGAACTTTAGTTGTGTCTCCTATTTTATATCAAAATAAGGACGTCTCATTCTCAGCGTTCGACCATGTCCATGCTTACATGAATACAGTGCTCAACAAATTTAAGTCCTACTGTTCATAATACTTGCTACTCTTTCTATTACAAATCCCAATTACGATTTTCGAATCCTCCTTCCTTTATGCTCCAAACACCTTTTATTTCTTGGTACTGGCTCATTTCTACAAGGCAAGCCATTTTCCATGTTAAATCCACAAGTCGGGCGAAAAAATTGATCTTCAAAATCAATTTCGACGGGAGATACTACTTTCCCCTCGTTATTGAACTTTAAAACAGAACCATTAACCCTCATCCCTTTATGCAAAGCACACCTCCTTCTCCCCTTAACAGGAGGCACACTACACACGGATCCATAACCAATTTCGACCCCACAAATATCAGTAGTGCCATAATCACCCGAACGTTCATACTGTGCATTTGGTCTAGGCTGCAGCCTCTTACCTCTGAATATTCTGGAGAATATTGTAATGTTATCCATACTGCTAGGGTCGGATCCATTTTTTGACAGGCAAGGCTCACAAGCTTTGATTTTAATCCCAACTGGCTTTTTGTTAAGAAAAATGAACTTTTTCACCAGGAGAGAAAACTGAGACTGTTTCGAGAGGTAATCGAGCTTTCTGTGGATGTCATATGGGCGTCGTGGACCGTTACCACCTTTGTTCCATGCATAGTCGAACTTGTTGAGTAGCTGTCTCTCGGTTGTCTCCGCGTCTTTCTTGCTTTTCGTCTGTCGAGGGACATTTAGAGGAAAAGGGATGAGAATAGTGTAACAGAATTGTGGGAAGATTTTCATATTCGATCGCATTCTCATAAGAAATGGCAGAGGTACGCGGGACCACCCCAGCCCACCCCATCTCCATAAGTATGTCGAAAAGAAAATATAAAAAACACAAAATACTTGAGAATTTTGTATGATTTGATTAAAGAAAATAGAATCAGTTCTGTTACTCAGTCCAGTGCCTTGGCCTTCCAAGCAGTTAAAGAATATAAGAAATTAGTGAATCTGATGATAGTTTTGAAAAACATACACCTGGTACGACAAAAATTAATAAGAAAAAAATGGGGCTTGTAAAAATTTTCGGGCTACGCCACTTGTCATAAGGCTCTTAATGCTTAAAAAGCCTGAGGACCTTCAGTAATAGAAATTACTGTGATGATATTTTAGAAAAAAAAAAAAAAAAAAAAAAAAAAAAAAAAAAAAAAACCTGGTACAACAAAAATTAACAAAAAAAGGGGGGGATTTTAAGACTTCCTAAAGAAAAAATGTTCGAGCTACGCCATATGTTATAAGGCGCTTAATGCTTAAAAAGCCTAAGGACCATCAATCTATCTGAAGTAGTAAAGTTCTGTCTTCTTTTCATGACAATCAAGAATGCAGATACATAGAAGAATCTTCAAGAGAGGATATAATTAAGAAAAAAAAAAACATTATCCTATAGTTGTGCAAGGTGAAAAAGCTTTAAGAAACACCAACATGCCAATATAGTTGTTGCATGATTTATCTGCTGACTGCTTGGAATCATTTAACTACCACCGATTTTCCTTTTCTGTTTGGTTTTTATCTGATAGCATGAAAACTTGCTAAACTTAGCTGCAAAGTTGAACCTTGCAAGATAGTCAGCAGAGTTTAATCATCCTATAAAACAGATAAAAATTTGTCACAAAATTAATCTTTTTCTTGAGAAACTACTTTTCTCGTGTCATTAGTCTAATTTACTGTCTCAATATCATTCTCTCACATTACGACCCATGCAAGAACACACAACTAAAAATAAACACCAAAATAGCACATTTAATTGATAAACACAGCCTTAGCAGCGATAATAAATACTTACTGGGGCACATCTATAAAGAATTGGCAAACCTCTCGAGAATATATCTGTAAACAATCCGAGCCTCTTATTGGAAGAGCTTGTTTGGCAGTCGTTAAACTTGAGATTCAAACATCCGTTCTCCAGATGGGCACCATCACGGCCATACTGCTGCAGTCGATTCCTAAGATTGTCAGCTTGTCCAAGATAAACAGGAACCACAGAGCTCGACTTAAACTCGCGGGCCCCTCTCCCGGATGTTGGACGTGATGCAGCCACGCCAAGCTCATAGACTCCTGGACAAGAAGTCCACTTGGGGAGATTTTGTGTCCTGTACTTTTCCACTCCTTCTTTTGCCAGTGAATGATCCTCCCAATCAGAAGGTCCTATCAGAATCTACCCAACAAATCACAAAACAACGACTCGATTCATCAGATTGATTATATTCAATTTCTACAAGTGAAACTTGAGAAAGGAACTGCTATCTGTGAGAATACAATGCAAAGTTCTTAACTTGATTCAACGGTGATCGGCTTTCGTTTTCGATTTATCTTTTTTCGGTGAAACTGAAAGGATTTTAGGGCCAACGCATCTCCATCAATTAAATTCCAGTATAAATCGAAAATCAAAAGAGGAAAAACTAGTTATCATAGTTCTTTAACTCTAAAACGAACATAATTTACAGTCCCTAAACCAATACAGTTAAAAAATATCGCAAATTAGAGCTCATAAAACATTCGAAAAGCAGCTTGTGTGTGTGTGTGTGTGTGTGTGTGTGTGTGTGTGTGTGTGTTGAGGACCTTCCATTGGGAGAAAGCAGAGTCGTGTTTGGTGCGCCTGAAGTCTTCTCTTCTCAGCCTTATTCCGTCGCCGGTGGACGCGGCTGAGCTGGGCGCTCCCATCGAGCTCCAGAGTATGAGTACCGGTTGCCGGCGTGAGTCGACCGTTGTTTTCGGTCCTTCATATATTGTCTTTTGACTCGCTGCTGCTGCTGCTGCTGCGCTTGGTTGCACCTGAAAGACATATTTGCCCCTCAGAATGCCTCAGGCCCTCATCGTTGTTCTCTTCAATTTTCTCCATCAATTATTATTATTTCTACTCTTATGTGAAAGTATGAAAATTAGTTATTATTTATACTTTTATGCGCAATCGCACAGGTTTTGTCAGAGATTAACATAAAAATAATTTGAGTGTCAGAGTGTTTATGCCAAAATCATTCCCGGCGTTTTGCAAGTCCTTATAGCGGTCTAGATGTGAGAATTTACTCGTTGGTTGCAAATTGCATTAAAATGGCGTAGTTTGTGAGACCGCACCTGACAATCCTTATTTCTTCATGATATCATAGCCGGTTCACCCAGTCCAGTTGGTCTTGGGCTTATGTGGGACCGTGCAATGACCTACTTGTCACCCAAGCCCAGTTGGGTTTGAGCCTCATAGGACTCACAAGTGAGGGGGCGTGTGAGAATATACACTTGTGAGTTGTCTCACATTGTCTATACAGGGAAAATAAACCTAACTTATAAGTCTAGTGAACTACTCCTCCTACCACCAATTGATTTTAAGATGGAACCCCACTAAGTCCTAGTTCACCCTGCTTTGGTGTACTTCACGTCCGTAGGACCACACCCGCCAACCCCCGTTTCTTCATATACCTACCATAGCTGCCATGATGAGATGAAACAGGGAAAATTAATACAATACACCTACCACTATATTACTATTATTAACATTAATATTCGAAACTTACATGAGAAAAATACCGAAAAATATTTCACATTAGTTTATGCAAAAAAAAATAATAATAATTCAATATATATAAGTTTATTTTATGAGGAACCTTTAAACTATTTATTACTTTATGAGGAACATGACTTGGACCTTTTTTTTTTTTTTCTTCACATTAATCTTTTGAGATATTGGCACATCTTATGATCTTAAGAGAAAAGAGAAAAGGAAAGCAAGGATTTCTAAATGAGCAAACGCAAGATATGATAAACAGTCGGAACAGCTATAACAAAATGCAAAAGAGGCAAAATGAAAAGAAAGAGAATAATATCATTTATTTAAATTGGTTTCTTAATTTTGTACGCGATATATCGATTAATGCAATTATGCATGTCAAGCTTTCGAGCCATGGACATCCCAACATGCAACTCACAGTCGACTGTCGAATCCCCCCCAAACAGTACCTAAATGCAGCTCACAGTAATAAATTATTAACTAACCAATTAAAGAAGCATCTTGATTTTTGCCAGCACAATTAAACACAATGACCTTGAGCCGCTATTTACTCTCTCTGAGACATAATAGGATACTTTTCACTATACATTTTACTCAGGGGCATAACTAGAATTGAGCAGTTTGAGTCTTACTACATATCCGCTTCAAAGGATTAGCCATTAATAAGTTGGAGCAGGGTCTCGGCAAGATCTTCACCACTGTCCCAGTCGAAAACCTTTGCTTTAACGATTTCGGAGTTTTTCGCAATTCGACCCCATAAAGGGAAGTTTTTCCTTGGCATAACATAATCTCGTTTGACAAGCTTCAGGGTTGGACAAAAATCGTTCATACCATCTCCGATATATATTATTCTTTTGGTCTCGTTTTCAGTCACAGAGGCGGCTTGGATCTGCTTAATCACAATGCCCTACAATGAAGTATATATGTTAAAAAATAGTTATCAATTAACATTTACACGATAAAACTTATACTATGCAGCGATTAACATCCGAAACTCAGGGCCACATGAATAAAATGACAATTAATAAGTATTCAGCAGCAAAAAATAATCTAGTAGTACACGAGAAGCAACCACCTTTACAGAGTGACATCCAAAATAGTATACATACGATTCACATGAGGAACAAACAAATAACAGTTAAACAAAGGTGTATGCAAATGCTTAAAACTGATTGCACCTTGCATAAATTGGGAGGGCAAAGATCACAATCATGTGATGAAACACCATCATGATACGGAAATATTCTAAGCCGTTCACCGTCTAAGTCAGCAGGGTTTGTGACAACATCTGAAAAACAGTCATATATTCCATGATGTTCCAAAATAGTTTTGATGTAAAAGTGGTTCGAATCGCTAACCACCTTCAAGTCACACCTGAAAAAGAACCGCATGCACTTTCACATCAATGTTCCACAAATTCCTATAGGGGGTAAAAAGAATTACTGAGATCATCATAATACCCTAGAGCATATGCTGATTTTATAACTGCAACAACATCTCGATGCAAAGGCATCGTTTTTAAACACTCGGCAATATCATTGACTGTTTTCCCTTGGATGTGTAGCTCCTCCAACATCCTGTCCTACAAAAAAACAATAGACTAAACTCGTATGGCAGCTTTGTACGGGCTCACAAATGCTCGATATCTAGGGAGGCAATGCATTTCTCAAAATTGGAGACAATAGGATCGATTTTCGAGTATAAGTAGAGACAATAGGATCCTGCAAAATGCAGTCTACTAACTATACAACAAAATTCTGTAGATAACAAATTTTGGTCCTAACTCCTAAGCTCACTAAATTTCGATTCAGTCAGGAACATTTGCTTTCAATTGCCCAAAGTTGAGATTTTATTATTACACGACGATGATACTAAAGGCAGATGCTACGGTCCGGTTATGGAACTATTCGGTCGGGATTTGTAACCGTTAGATCATCATGTAACCGTCATGGATAGTTGATCTAACAGTTTCAAACTTCGACGGAATGATTCCGTAACGGGACCGTAGCATTTTCCGATACTAAAAAGAAATCAAAATAAAGCAGCTAAAATAAACGATTTTTTAACAAATCATAAACTCAACCGGAAGCATGAATACCCAATCACATAGATAAGACACGATTACATTACATAAAAGGGGGAAAATAGTTTGCAGAGATAGAAATGGAGACCATAAGAGAGTTCCAAGGCAATGTAGATCGGAGGTGATTGAACAATTGGGCGAGGCCCATATTCGTCACCACCCATCGGTCGCTGTCGTCTTCAATCAGCGTCCTGTCGAAATCGAATATTATCACCGTTCCTCCGCCCATTCTCAGCCGTGGCGCCACCGACGGCGATTTATATTTTCCGATTTGATTTTTTTTTTTTTTTTTTTCCCAACTCCCGACTGCGAGCCGGGCGATTGAGACCCACAAGTTCGAAGTATCTAACCAATTTTTCAAATTATTTATTATATTTTTTATACCTAGATTCTACCGATGAAGTCTATCAATATACTACATCAACGTTGAATTTGTACTGTTCGTATTTATTTTAACTCTCACAATTCACATTATAGCCGCAGCAGCATCACATTATCTCACCGAGCCGTAAGCGACCCGACAATTCTGATTATAGCTACTACAGCATCAGATTATCTCGTAGTATGGTCCAACATGAGTGGGATATATTAGGATCCAATACGTGCACAGGAGAGCGAATTTTGCGGTTGACCATATGGCAAGTGTGACGGCGGACTGCTCGATTGGTTTACAGCGGGTATCCTCTCCTCCTTCAAGAATGAGAGCATGGTGGTTCGAGCATGACATTATTGGGGTGTCATATCCCCGTTGAGTTCTTGCCTAGGCATTCGGCCTCCTTCATAGTACCCAAAAAAAAAATAATAATAATAATAATAACTGACAATATTGTATAAAAGGGACGGTTGTAGCAGGTGTTTTTTCAGCTAAGCATTTAATGCATAGAGAGAAAATAGAACGTAGAGTGACATGGTTGTCAATTAGCACAACTTTTCAGAAAAAAAAAAAAAGGACACTTGTGACGTCTCGAGAACATGATTATGAGGAGATTTTTTCACCGGTAGCCATACTTAAGTCCATCAGGATTCTCTTGAGTATAACCGCTCATATAGATTACGAGAGTTGGCATATGGATGTCCTAGATCCATCCAAATCCTTATGGATTGTCTGAAAGATTTTGGGGCTAAGTTGGGGCTTGAGATGAATGTGCAGAAGTCAAACATCTACATGACAGAGTGGGCCAAATGGATGAAGCAGTGATGCTTCATGACACGCACCTATGCCTCGACTCTATGCCTGTCTGCTATCTTGGTATTCCCCTTACGGCAGAAAGGGTCATTATGGGCCAATTTGATGCGCTTGTCAACCAACAGTGGACTATATCAAGGAGAGGAGTGCATACAATTTTTCAAATTTGGGGCGCTTGGAACTCCTCATAAAATCGGTTCTTCTGGGAGTGAAATGCTTTTGGATAACTATTTTCCCGCTTCCCTCAGTCGTACGCACAAGTCATCCAACATTGCCGACAATTCCTTTGGGGCTTGAGAAATGCGACATTGGTTTGGCATCTTATAAGGCTATCGCGCTCAGAGAAAGGCTTAGGACTACGCGACTTAAAGGCTTGAAACCATGCTTTGTTGGCCCAGACACTTTGGAATATACATGCCAAGAAGGATATTTTGTGGTTTCGATGGGTTCACCATATTTACCTTCGGCAAAGGTCCATTTGGGACAGGATTATCCACAAGAGTGATCCATCTATTAAAGAATCTTTACGAAGTCTAAAATCTAATAGTCCAAAAGTTGGGTAGCACAAAGCCGCCCGCATTGCGCCTATGGGACTCAAACATTCAACTCAAGGGTCTTCAAGTGTTTACGAGTTCTTTAGAATCGAAGGACTCGTGTCTTGGGGTGGCGTGGTCTGGGGCCCTTGCAAGACCCCAAATCATGCCTTCATTCTTTAGCTAGCAACAATTGGCAGGCTACGCACCAAGGATCGCGTTGCATATTTAGACACATACTACACCTAGGCTTTTGTGGCAATGCACCCGAAACGGTCGAGCATCTCTTTTTCACCACCCCCCTCACTGTATAGGTGTGGTCCGTCATTCTACCATGGACAGGCTTGGGCCAACAACCGATTACATTAATGAGTGCCTTGAAATGGATCAAGAAGGAAGCACAAAGGTCCAGATGGCAAACCAAAGCAAAGAAAGCTACTTTGTTTGAAATGCACGGAATAGGAATATCTTTGAAAATTAACACAACCAATGAAGCTCATTACTCGAAAGATTCAAATTCATGTCTATCGGAACATATTCGCTTTGTATTTAAATGTGCTTGCCGACTTCGAAAAGAAAGACCTTTGGGGTATGCTAGGCATTCACTTTGTTTTTGGGACTTGAGAGTGAGCAGACTTCATTGTGCCCACACACATGCAGCCACGCGCTCACGCTCACTATGTCTTTTGTTTTTGGGGTTTGTGTAGCGGTACCTGTGGGGTTACTCCTAGACATTTGATCCTTTAGTGAGGAGCCGAGCATGTGGTTACCCACTACGCTTTTTTATTAGCATACGTTGCATGTGGAACCACAACCATACTTATCCCCCCTCACTTCTTACGTGAGAAAAAAACAAATGAGTGATTGCCAAGGATTAGTGCAATATTAAATGGTGCAGATACAAATCAAAGTGTAGACATGCATAGAACTTCCAGTTCTGTTAAGAATGCTAATCATTGTCAACATGACTACATTATACTGTCTAAACCTTTTCAGTTTTAAGTAAATTCAAGTACCTGTAAAGAAATCAATGTCAATTTTACCTTACCATCAATTTGAAACTGCAACAGGCAAAACTGCTGTTTTGGAAGTAGCTGTAAAGGCACTCCACCCACATACACAAAGAGCTCACACACACACACACAGAGAATCATCGGTAACTTGAGTCACAAGCTACATTATTCAAACCTCGTCAGCATGGCAAATATCTCTTATAAAGTTCACATACAAATCAACCGATTACACATTCACGACCAACTACAAATGAACGAACAATCCAAACGCTAACTCCCCAACTATATCCAACAAAGAATTCCCTCTGCTATCCACATACGACTCTACCCTACTCAAATCATTGTAACAACCAATAAATGATTGAAAAAAC